GATTCGTTTTTATGTTATAAACACACCACCAAAACCCCCTCAAAACTCGCCTGGTTCTAGAGTTCCTTACTTTATATTTCTTTCGAAGGCTCTTGCAGGAAAGATCCTCCTTCCCTGTGGATTCGATCCCTAAGTACTACAATCGATCAGCTGTGCACTTGCGGCTATTGATTTCATTTAGGGTAAAACTTGACACCCCCGACACACACCACATCAGTATGACTCGAGATCGGCCCAATGGATCCTGGTTTATGATGGTTAATATCCGAAGAATACTCGACCCATTAACAGCCTCCAGGACCCTAAAGCCCGATTTACAATATCGGCATTAATTTCCGGATTTTGCAGAAGATCTCATAATCTTATCTATGAAAGAAATTTTTCTTAAAAGATAAATCCCCGAGAAAAAAGAAATTTGTTTTTATCAGCTTCGAAAAATAAGAAAATCTGCAATAACAAGTACAAGAAGAAAAAAGAAAAGCTACTGGCTTCATCACCTATTAATACAAGAGCTCTACATAGAGAAGGTCATCATTCATTATTCAGAACTCCACAATAAAACCCTAAAACACATCTTCTTCTTATTTTTCTGTAATATGAACTACAAATGACTTGATCCATCTTTTAAAAGTACGTAGGCAGTCACATTGAATTCAGCTATAAAAGAAATAAAATCTCCTAAGCTCTTTGTGTGATACTCGGTATCAACAGAGTCTCTGAACAAACACATCGGATTTGTCTTCTCCGACCAGAGAAGATGAGATGCTGCAGAAGGAGATGAAAACAAACAAAAAAAATTAAAAACCTAACAAGTCGGACTTACAGACAAACATGTCGGACTTCCTTGGGAATCAAGTCAAGCTCAAATCTGCCATCGCTGGTGCTTCCGCCGGTGAATGAAGAGTCTGATTTACCCTCAGATGCTGATGACGGCTCAGCCTCCGGTATTTCTTCCGCACCCGTAAATGCCTCTGTGGCTAAGGGCCTGCTGCATCTGGCCGTAAGTTGTCAAGTCTTCTTAAGAACTCATCCTAGCTTGAGGAAATAGTGTCCCAACTCAGCACGTATCCGGTGTTTTGTTTGTCCTTATTACAGACGAGAACCTCGATGCGGCCAAGGAAGAGTTTAAAGACTTTGTCTTTGCTCGCTTTCACGGTGACTTTCCCGATATGGGGAGGATTACCAGGGTGGTTAACGCCATCTTTGCTCGCACGGGACCAAGGATCTTCGTCCATAACATTGGATCTGGTTCTTATCTTCTTAAAGTAGTGAATGCAAAGAACAGAGAACATCTTCTTAGCTAGAATATGTGGTATATTGCAGGGTTTTCCGTGTTTGTTGCTCCTTGGGCTCCCAACTATGACCCGGATAAACCCCCGCTAACCTCTGCAATTGTTCCAGTGGAGTTTTGCGACGTTCTGTATGTGTTGTTAACAAGGAGAGTCTATGCAGGATCGCTACTGCAGTAGAAAAACCAATATCTCTCGCACCAGAAACAGCCTGCAAGGAAATATTCAAAGTTGCAAATTTTTTTGTGAGGATTGATCTGATGAAAGATCTGCCAGATAAGGTTATCTCCGGGTTCTCGAGTGGCCGTGAAGTCCTGATTTCTTTATCATACCCCCTTGGCTGCCTCAGAAATGTGTGACTGCAACAGTTTTGGTTACCAAACTTGTCATTGAGTCTTTGACTATCATCTCATGAATTGAAGGAATATCACTCTTTCGCCCAGTATTGGTACTAGGAGGGTCAAGAGGTCTCGCGCTGGCCACTCCAGAGCTAGAAGAAACAGGCATCAGCCTTTCTGTCGCGAAGGAGCTAACCGGGAAGGAAGGTACCTCTTCAAGTGATCAGGTTGTCAATGGTGGTTCTCAGGAACATTTGGGAGAGGAAGTGGGTGCTGTGGAAACTACAACTCCGGAGTCTAATGCCGGAGAATCTCAGAAACCTGAGGTCAAGGTTCATGTGGGGATGGATGTTGTTAGAAATCTCCCTGCTTCGTAGGTGGATGCTCTACTTGAAATCAATGCTGAGCCTGTTGCGATCGTTCCAGAGGTGCATACTCGACCCTCGATGAGTGATGCTAAGGTTGATGAATTTTTTTTGGTTAGAGGTTCAGTGGTAAAAGTTGCTGGTTCGACTACTCCGCATGCTATCAGTCAAGTATCTAAGGATATGGAAGTACCTTTTTTATTGGTTTCTCACCGGAAGAGTGGCCGCAAGGCTGCAAAACACCACTAATATACATATATAATGTTTTTTTGCGTGGAATATAAGGGGACTCAACAGCGATAGACGCTATCCTATGATCAAAGATTGGATTAATATCCATATGCCTCTTTTTGGAGCGTTCAGTGAAACGCATATTCAGGAAATAAATAAAAGTAGGATCTCAAGAGCTATCCCTGTGGCATAGAGATTTTTCAGGAATTTTGATTATCACTAGACAGCTCGGATTGTTGTTGTATAGGATCCTAGTGTCTCAGTGCTTATCTATAAAGCTTCTGTTCAAGCGGTGACCTGTGGTATCTTTATCCGAGAGCAGAATATCAACCTCACGGTTACTTTTGTATACGGCTTTAATTCAGTGGAGGAGGGGACTCTGTTATGGAAGGAGTGGGTTTTTTGAATGAAACGACACCAGTATCTCAGCACCCATGGGCTGTATTAGGTGACTTCAACCAGATAATGCGTGCATCTCAGCACTGAAATCACCCATCTATTGACGTTGACACTTGTGATATGGAAGATATAAATATAGCGCTTCAAGACGCAGGATTATTTGAAGCTCAAACCAAAGGCCTATCTTTCTCCTGGTGGAACAATAGTGAAGACAAACCTATCTCCAAGAGAATCGATCATGCTCTGATAAATCAGGCTTAGACAATGTCGTTTCCTGATGCTTATTGCAATTTATTGGAACCGCTGTAATCCGACCACTCTGCTTGTCTGTTTCATGTTCCTTTTACTCATCGCCAGGTTCACAAACCTTTCAAGTTTTTCCGGCATATTATGGATCATCCTCAGTATCTAGAATCTATCACTGAGGCTTGTAATTCTTAGAGTATTCAAGGCTTAAATCAATTCAAATTGACAAGGTCTATGAAGCTTTTGAAACCGGTTCTGCGTAAGTTAAACACTCACCATTATAGTGGCATCTCTACTCGAGTGAAAGAGCAAGCTGAAAAGATCTCTGAGCTGCAAATATCTATCCTATCCTCGCGATCTATTACTCTTGGTTTGTGAAGAGCATGTTGCCAGGGCCAAATGGCACACTCTCGTAACAACTGAGGAGAAATTATATCGTCAAAGGTCCCGTGTTCAGTGGTTGTATCTTGGTGATAGAAGTACGTCTTTCTTTCACAAGTCAGTTCCTCAGCGGAATACTCGGAACTATATTCATTTCGTTAGACACTCCCATGGAAATGTTTTTGATTAAACGAAGGAGATTAAAATGCATTCTGCGGTTTATTTTAAGGACATCTTGGGGAAGACTGATTTAGTCTCTTCCCCTGTCTCTGTTGATTTTTTGCAAGACCTGTTGCCATTTCGCTGCTCTAACAATCAGAATGCAATACAAAAGGAGGTATCGGCTGAAGAGATTAAGAGTATTATCTTTTGTATGCCTCTAAATAAGAGCTCTGGTCCTGATGGCTACTCTGTTGAGTTTCTGATATCAACTTGGGAAGTGACCGGTGGTGATGTTATTGCTGCGGTTCCAGAATTCTTCAGGAACGGTCGGCTTTTGAAGGACCTAAATAACACTTCTATCACTCTTATTCCAAAGAGGCGTGAAGCATGTCAGCTTGGTGATTACCGACCCATTAGCTGCTGCAATCTTGTGTACAAAGTTATTTCAAAGATCATCACAAGCAAGATGAAACCAGTCCTACAACAGTGGATAAGTCTCAACCAAGCGGCATTCTTTATAGGAAAGAGCCTCGGTGAAAACGTGTTACTGGCATCTGAGTTGATTAGGGATTATCAGAAGTCATCATGCCCCAAAAGCTGCATGTTAAAGGTGGATATGAGGAAAGCCTTTGATAGGATTTCACTTTAAAGTCCTTGAATCTCAGCAGTTTCTTCCCTTATTCAGAGCGTGGATTAAGGAATGTGTCACTTCTCCTCGGTTTTCTATCTCAATAAATGGCGAGTTGGCAGGCTTCTTCAATGGAATGAAAGGCCTGCGCCAAGGTGATTCAATGTCTTACAATATCTTCATTATGGTAATGAAAGTCTTGTCTAAACTTTTGGAAAGATCCGTGGACCTTGGCAAGATAAGGCTTCATCCAAACTGTGCTGATCCCAAGGTTACTCACCTTCTCTTTGCGGCTGACCTTGACGGATCGTGGGCTTCTATTTCAGGCATTAAGGAAACCTTGAAGGAGTTCAAAGAAATGTGTGGTCTGGATATGAATGCATCAAAGTCTGAGATTTTCTTTGGGGTTTATTATGATATTGAATCTGCAGTTCTTGGTGATCTGGCTGGATTTCAGATTGGATCATTCCCGACCAAATATTTGGGTCTTCCTCTGAATCCCTCAAGAATATTTTTTGCAACTCTACAGCCATTTGCTGAGAGGATTACATCAAAGCTCCACTATTGGACAGTGAAACACATGTCTTTCACGGGAAAGATTAGATTGGTTTCATCCGTTATCTACGGTATGGTGAATTTCTGGAGTTATGTATTTGTGCTTCCAAAGCATTTTTACAAGACTATCAACTCGCTATGCTCAAGTTTTCTCTGGAAAAACAAGACTATAAATGCCATCGGTGCAAGAGTGGCATGACGTGATGTCTGTAAGCCTAAATCTGAAGGCGGGCTTGGACTCAGGCTCCTTGAAGACTATGAGATGATCTTCCGACTTAAACACATCTGGAACTTCTTCTCCCAATCCATGTCCCTCTGGGTAGCTTGGCTAAAATCGCATGTGTTTAGAAGGAAAAGTATCTGGATTACAGAGGATTCCAACCGGTTCTCCAGACCTGTTTGAAGTATGCTTCAGCTGAAGCATTGTGTGGTGGATTTCATGAGTTGTGTCATAGGAAATGGTGATGATGCATCTTTCTGCTACGACTCTTGGAAAGACCTGGGACCACTTATATCATTCGTTGGGGATAATGGTCCTCGTCAGCTGCAGATTCATCTTGATGCTCACATAGTCCATGCCTCTCAGAATGGAATGTGGAGGATGCCTGCAGCTAGATCAGAGGAAGCCCAAGCTCTCCAAATTGCCTTATCGACCATTACTCCACCGTCTGTCGATCGCGGTCGAGATCAATACTTATGGCGGAATGACTCGGGTACGTATGTGAATGTTTTCTCTTCTAAGGTAATTTGGGAGCTTATTCGTAGTTGTTCTCCTCAAGTCTCTTGGGATAAGATTGTCTGGTTTAAGGAACCTGTTCCTAGTCACTCGTTTATCACTTGGTTAGCTATGTTGTCACGGCTTCCCACCAAGGATAGATTGAGGCGATGGGGGTTGAATGGTGCTCCTGAATGTGTGTTGTGCTCTGGTGGTTTGGAAACGCATATGCATCTCTTCTTTGAATGCCAGTTTTCATCAGCTATCTGGAACTGCTTTGCGTCTTCTTTTTGGCCGAACGCGCCCCTGGATCTTGTCTCTATTGTTGCATGGATCTCCCAGAACCAAGTAAATCATCGATCGGGCCCTGCCATTATCATCTGGATCATCTTGCAAGCTCTCGTTTATATCCTCTAGAAGGAACGTAATGCTCGGATTTTCTCGGCCTCGCCAACGCCGGTAGTGCCTTTCATGAGCTCCCTTGATCGTTTGCTAAGAGACCATCTCCTCTCCTTTCCTGCCAGGAATGACGCTTCTTCTTCTCTCCTCTAGCTCTATTTTGGCTTCATCTTCTACCCTCCTTAATTTGTACTCTATTTCTGCCTTTGTTTCTTGTAATAAGTTGGCCTTCCAACATATACAGTGTAAAATCCGAAAATGGTAATATATTTAACATCTTACCCAAAAAAAAAATTGAGAGAGAGATGAGAGAGAAAACGTCTGTCTGTTAGCATCTTCTCGGATACTTATAAAATGATGATGTTGATGTAAGAAATTTTTATTATTTTTTTTTTTTTGATAAAAGACTTTCTATTAAATGCATGAGAAGAAAAATATTACAGTGCCTAAAGGCCCAATGATAAATAACCCAACACAGAGTTTAGAGAACCTAATTTGAACCAATATGAATTTCCTAGGCCCATGGACTTGACCAATTCACACCAAAAGATGAAGAAATAGATAAATCATGAAGTTCGCTGAGGAGATTGCATGGGTCATCAATCCACCAGGATTCAATAGTTGTCTGATAGCCAATCAAAGCGTTTGGACAACCTAAGCTAATCGGCAAATCAAGTTTTTCTAAATAATTTTTTTTTTTTCATACCATCCTTAACCAATCCATAACAGTGAGAGCCACAACTGCAAATTCGCTGAAGCTTGTGTCGGGTTAGACAGTCTACTGATAACACCGTATTTTGACCACTTTTATGGATCATTTTGAAATACTTTTTCTATGTTTTTATTTGCTTTCAAGTACTTTTATTACATTTTTCTAGTATTTGTAGTTCCAAGACTCTTTTTAGGAAACTAAGGAAAAAACTTAACAAAATGGATAGAAGACCAGATTTTCAGCTCAGAGTCAAACCGTCAGAAATTCACCCCCGATTGAAGGCCTTCTCACCGTCTGATCCAGCTCAAATTTGGAGATCTCAAAGATGGATGTATCAGCTATCAACCACACTTTACAGCTTGGCAATCCAACGGTTCAATCAAAAGATGCGCGAAGAGCAAGATGTCCCGTAAACCAGCCGGCAAGCGTTTCCACCCGCGGCCAACAGCCCATTCCTCCCGGTCCCAAGCTCCCTGACCGCGGCCAGTCATCCCTTCCCCGCGGTCACGTACATTCTGACCGCGGCCAGCCAACTCCGAGTTCGGAGGCCCATTTCTGAAGCCCAGATCATTTTCCCAGCCTCAATTTCGGAACCCTAGACACCAGAGAGTATTGGAGACTAAATACATATCATTTAGGTCATTTTTAGGAGAGAAAGAAGAGAGACGAAATACTTTACTGAAATTTTACTTTAAGGTTTGTTTTTAGGTTTTAGGGAGAGAGAGATCTATCTCTTGAACCCTTGTTCTTTCTTTTTCAATTTCGGTTTCTGTTCTACTTTTTAATACTATGTTTTTGATTTCGTTTATCATGTCTGAGTAGTTTTATTGTTGGGTCTAAGGGATTTTCGTTGGGGATACTTATGTTCGATGAGGATTCCATGAGTTATTGAGCCGAATCTTAGAACTTTTTCTTCTGAATTCGTTTTTACTGCATGAGAGTAGCGTCATGAACTACAATTTGATCTAGATGCTTGGTGACACGAAAGTGTTCATCCGGTGTCAGATCTAGTTTGGGAGAGCAAAACAAACATAGGAGTGGAAACCTACCTATGGGCGATTTGTGAATGCTGACGAGTCTTAAACATAATTCATCTTTTTTCTTCCAGGGCCAGAGTGGAAACCTACAGGTCAGGGTTGAGAGAGATAGTTGTCTATGATCACGACAGTGGCGTATTCATAAGTCCGTGACTCCAGTTCAAAAAGTTTAAGCTAAGATCTTATCAAATTTACTCTCTAGCAATGTTTTGAATCGTTCATACCCCTGATAAAACTTCCCTGAACCTCAGCGCCTTCTTTTCTATAGATTTACACCGATTTTCATTCAGGCTTTAGTCTAGTATTTTTACTTTTTCAATCGATTTTCATTTAAGCTATTTGGTTTAGCCGTTTTTCTCGTTTTTAGTCGTTTTCGTTAAGTTTAGTTATTAGGCATTTGAATTCCCGTATTTTCCCGTTAAGATTAGTTTTTACGTTTTAAAGACACCACCAAAACCCTCACAAAAATCGCCTGATTCTAGACTTCGTTACTTTATATTTCTTTCGAAGGCTTTTGCAGGAAAGATCCTCCTTCCCTGTGGATTCGATCCCTAAGTACTACAATCGATCAGCTGTGCACTTGCGGCTATTGATTTCATTTAGAGTAAAACTTGACAACCCTTGACACGACCACATCAAGTCACCACCAAGTTTTTGGGGCCGTTGCCGGGGAAGGCACGCGTTTTCTTTTCCGCAAAACCCTAAGAAAGGTTGGTAAATCGATTCTAGAACCCGTTTTTCAGCATATTTCCATTTTTTGGTTATTTTGTTTCCATTCCAGAAGCAATGGATCCTATAAATCGACATCCCTACTATGAGGGAGGTTTTTACAACACTCCTCAAGCCACCAGATGCAGAGAAAAGCAGTACCTACGCGATCTCTACGAAGAAGTTCGAATCGAAGACTACAGAACGTTCCTAAACGAGCCCTACGTGCCTCCAATGGTAAACCCTAGACCACCTATGTATCGCCTACCTCACCAGGTTCTACAGCAAGATGAGAACGTCCAGCTAAGTAACCGATTGAGTCGAAGGCGAAATCAAGCAGTTCATAGAAGCTCAAGCAGCCACTACAGCCGCTCTTAACGAAAGGATTGACGGAATATCAAAACTTTTCAATGAGAAGATCGATAACCTAGCTTCACAAGTCAAATCAATTGAAGAACGAGCAACCAAGGACGCAGCCATGATCGCTAACAGGTTCGACAACATGGAGGAAGAGCAAGCAAAGCACAACTACGAGCTCTGCAACACTAAAAACAAAGTCACGGACCTGGATTTCAAACTTGAAGATGTGGACAAAGCCCTCAACGAAGCTAAGAGCAAGTCTTATGACTTTACTGTCGAAGTTTCAGAGAAGGTTTACAAAGTCATTGACAAAACCGAAGAGCTTGACTCAACCATGACAAAGTATTATATGCTCTTGATGAAGTTGAAGAAAAGGTTGAAGAGATCATACAAGGACTTGGAGAGCAGATTCCAGCAGCCAAAACTAAAGACTCAAGTCCAGAGAGGAAGTACATCAAGCCAGAAGACCTAGGAGATCGTCCAGGAAGCAAAGGAGCAAGCAACAGCAGACAATCAACTCGGAGACACTTTCTCGCGGTCGCGTCGCTTCCGACCGCGGCCAAGAAGCCCCTTCCCGTGGTTGTGCTCGGCCTACCCGGGGCCCATGGGCGTTTTCCCGCGGTTGTGTCTCCTGCAGTCAAGGCCGGCTCAAAAAACGTTCCAAAACAGCACCGTTCAATTCATACAAGCAGTTGCTCGACTGATACACCTCCTGGGATGACTAAACCCCTCCATCAACAACTAATTTGCTCCATCAGCACCCAAGGATCTGAAGACGAAGACAAGTCATTGCTCGGTAACATGGCTTTGTCATGTGAAGATGAGTATGAAGAGCAATACTCTGAAGATGAAGAGTATGGGTTGTTTGTAGAAGATCCAAACGCAGGATATTCCTCAGAAGAAAGTTCAGGAGAAATTCAATGGATCACCAACAACATCAGTAGGGAGAAGCTCATAGAGTTTAACAATATGGTTAGGTTATTCCCTGCTCACCTAAGCTTTGATGAAATCTGGAAGCTTGGTCGTTTGCAAGTCTTTTTCAGGTACTGCAAAGAGTCTAAAGAGGATATCCATAGATACTTTATGCGAGCTCGATACATGACATCACCAGAAGCAGCTGTGTATGCGATCCACCTTCAAAAACCTGAAGACTGCAGCTACTACACCAACAAAATCAGCAAAGAAAAGCTTGACGAATTCAATGATGTAGTTCGAAATTTGCCTGAAGGAATCACCTTTGCCAGAGCTTGCAAGGACTTCATTATAGGCCACTACTTCTTGAGAGCAAGGAATCAATCTCTGAAATAGAAGACTTGTTCAATCATGCCAGAAGAGGTAAACCTGTTTGAACACTTCACAAAATCGAAGGTGCATGTCAGTTTCTCATCTGTTGTTCTATTAGAGGAGAAATGTTTAAAAACGTGCTTTGTGATTCTGGAGCTTGTCTTAACATGATGTCCAAGTCAATTGCTTTGAGACTTGGTATTAAACACCTGCGCAGGACTACAGCAAAGATTAGTCTAGCTGATGATTCCAATGCAACACCTCAAGGAATACCTCATGACATTCCTTTGAGAATAGGAGATTGCATCGTGCATGTTGACTTCTACATTGTCGAAACGAGAGACGCAACACATCCACTGATTCTCGGATGGTATTTTCTAGCAACTTCCGGAGCTATAATGGACTGGCCAAACCAGAGGATTTCGTTTGCTAATTGATAACTAAGAGTTTTCACCCTTTAAAGAGGTTATCAATTCCCCTGTCCTTGTAGTACAAGGGGTTATCAAACCAAACTTGTAGTGGAGACACTATCTATGTCATTTGTCACCTTAAGTCAAGAGAGAATAGTAAAGGTTTTTAGCTAGACTAAGTAACAAGCAAATGAGCATAAAAGTAAAACAAATGATGAGATTTAAACTAAGTGAAGATGCAAATAACAAGCAAATGATTCGGATGATGATAATATATGATAAAGGCAGAAGCTTTAGACAGGATACTTGACTCGGGTGCTTCCAAGCTAAACTAATGGGTTAATGAATCATTTTATCAAGCGATTTCATTTAACTTTGAACTCAAGGCATGTTAATCTTCTCATGAAAGTATTAAACATCTAAACTGATCCTCTTTCATACCAAAATCCCTTTTGAGAAGCATGAATCAGTCAGCAATAAGATTCAGTTCAAAAAATGTCATTTAAG